ATTTGAGGAAAGCGATAGCCTTAATAGAGATTATGTTTTTGATCATTTTGTGCATTTTTTGAATTAATAGACATTAACTCAAGCACTGGCAACAGCTCGGGAGCACTTGGCGAGAAGTCTTCTTACATGATATTCGTCATTGGAGCAAAATGGTAGATGTTTATTCATCTGCCATAGTGACCTTACCTGAAATGGTTTCTGTTCATTAGAAATCAGTCCCTATTGACTTGAAGTATCTTAAGATATTGTTTTTTTTACGAAGTCTTTTTTTTGGTAGATCAATTGTTACCCTTCTTGTTGGCTAGGAATACTTCCATATGCACTATTGATTGCTGATTTTATGTTTTCATGAATTAGACACTTGAAATGTGTGAAGAATTTGCATGTGAAAATGATTTATGTATTCTGTGAAATCGACAAGTTTATGTTTCCAAAACTATTATGAGTTTCTTGTAGACGAAAAATTTAAGATGGAATCGATCTTCGATGTGGACTAAAAATACTCATTGAACACCCCTAACTAAAAATACTTCAGTCATTGCAATTTTTTACAAATATTAAAACTAACATCTAACACTAATGGAAAATGAAAATCTCAAATGGTATTTAATGTTAATTGTTGGATATAAAAGTGTCAACTCAGACAGAATTCATATAGTAAAACTAACACATTGTAGCACTAAGATGTGTTGACGCTTGGTCTCGTTCAGTTCTTAAACGCTAAACGAAATAGAATCTACCGATGATCTGTGTTTCTGTACATTGTAGGACATGGCATATATACCAAAGTTTTCACTTCATTCAACAAGCAAGAATCAAACCTTCATCTTTTCTTGGCATCAATAAACATAGCGCGTGTCCAATGCTCAACATCCTCGGACTGTGATGGTGGTGGCGGGTACTTGGGATGCTCCACCAAGTCCCATCCGTTCATATCGTTGTTCTTTCGGGTCTCTGATAATTCAGTTGCAGAGAGATAACTGGCTCCTGAGTTCGGATCCTGGTTATAACTTGCGTTCCTCTGTCAGAAAATATGAGTTTTTTAATTAGAGATGTCGCTACGGAAAAAAACCCACGTTGAAACAAAACAAGTGAACTGCTTATGCAAAATGAAACATCAATCAATGCAAATTTTTGAGTGCCCAATTCATCCAAACAAATGCCAGAAAAATCCATCAAACATTTACAAAATATGGTCATTTGTAAATGATGGAAAGTTTTAGTAAGGGAAAAGGAGGAATTAGCGTGTACCGGAAGATGAGCACTTTCAAGTAAGGAGCTTGAGATGACAGAATGAGCGTTCCATATGGATTTGTTGAGTTGTTGAGCCTGTTTGCATGATCTGCATCACCAGAACATAGAAGAACCACATAAACGTATCAGGAACTATACAGTTATCAGAAACTCCAAATACAAAAGGAGAAAAACGAAACATGTGAAAAGAATTCCCCAAAGATGTGAGGACATCTGAGTTGGACATAAGATTGGTTTACCTTGAAGAAGCCATCTTCAGGGAGAAAACAGACCGGACTTCCTTCGATGACGAAAGTGTGGCCAATAACTTGGCAAATGCTTCGAAGGTTGAGGTCTCGGGAGGAACTTCGAGGCAAAGTGAGTTGTAACAATACACTGTCAAGCACGCAACACTTTTCTTGAGAAGAGCTATCCCTTTCTGCAGATCTCTGTGTGACTCAACCGAATGAGGAGAAGCAGAGGAGTAATTAAAGCTGTTGCTTCCTTTCGAGTCAAGGTGTGCTTCTTTTCTGTCGGATTCAATGGAAGCAACACCAAAATTGCTGGAGTTTTTATCTGTCCATGAGTTTTCAACGCTGGTTGCACAATAATTTTGACGGGGTATGAAGAGAGGATACTCGTTGCTGCAATAGAACAATGCCTTGTTTAATTTTTTATTTTATTCTCCTTCAAAGCACGGTGTATGTAGAAAGGGATTTACAAAAAGGAAAAAAGCGATTGTACCTTCGAGTAGAAGGACGTGCGTCCCAATAGGAATCTCGTTGCCATATACGGGAGCAAGAGCCCTGAGTGGTGAAAACCAACAGATACGGACGAGTTTACAAGAGCAAGATAGTAATTTTTTTGTCTTTGCTGTGAGATTATACTTAAGTACGGTGATTTTTCCACTTGAAAATGCAAAGCTTATTGAAGATAAACAATCATACCGCAAATCCTGAGTTATAGAGTGCAGGAGCGGCTAAGTTGTGAACAACAAGGTTCAGAAGCTGGACCATGTACCTGCTCCACATATCAGAAAATGTCTTACGAAATTGAACATACGATATACCACGGAATAAGAAAAGTTTGAAACCCAAACACGACTATCTATGAATGTAAACGAAATTTCTATAGCCTTTAAAAGATAGAAAAAAAAAAACTTTACCCCAAAGAGGCAGCGAGCTCTTCTGATGGGATGGAATGAGGGTCCAGACCCTTTGGGAGCCGTGAATTGCAAATAAGATTACACTGACCAACTGAACCATTCTGACTCTCCCCGTCAAAACTAACCTAGATACAGTACAAAGCAACTAGTGTAAAACAATAGTCCAAGAAGACCATTGAAAGAATAACTGTGAATTTTAGAAGTTGTATGCAAAAAGAAGAAGCATAATATTACTCGGCGTAGAGGGAACAGTTTGCATATTTGCTTCACAACCACTGACTGCTTATGAAGACGCTCAGATGAGATAGCCATCTGCAATAAAGAAATTCGACTCGTTAAATTGCATTAGAGATGTCATCATCATACTGGAAAGAAATAAAAAACCAATCCAGCTCCTTACATGGCCAAGGCTCTGAGTACATATTAGATTTGGAAAATACTTGTCCACTTGTTCAACTCTAATTTTTTCCAACTGCAAACACAAATTAAAAGGATATGGATAAACTGTGACAAAACCCTTGTTCCATTTTCACATATTACACATCAATGCGTATGAAGCATCATTGATTTTCTTACCGTGGATCGAGCTGAATCAAGAACTCCATATCTAGCTTTGAGATCACGAGATTCTCTTTCAATCTTAGCCTTCCCTGGGAAAAACAAAAGAAAACATGAACTTAGAAAGAAAAAATATACACAAGAGAGTTTGTTATGTAGAGGAACAACAAAAGAAGTCAATCAAACCTTGAGTTACTTGTTCTTTGTTACGCACAAGACTAATTTTCAAGCTTGAAAGCTTATCGTTATGAAGCAATCTCCATTTCTTCTGATCATCAGCTATAACCTTAGCTTCCAATAACTCACCAAGCCTTGAATACAAAGAATCTCTTCGAGTCTTAAGTGACTTCAACAAAGTAGTATACTCATTCAATCTGTTAAACAAATCAAAAATCTTATGAGATTCCCAATTCATAAAGACTTCGAGTCTTAGGTGAATCGCACATACCTATAATTAACGCAAACACTACAGATAGAAGCACGATTCGTGTTCTCGCAAATAGAGCAGTTACTGGATCGTTTTATCATCCTAAATCGTCTAATCCCTCATGTTTCCTCTAACAAAACCTAAGAAATTCCACTGAATCAGAAGATGGTGTGAAGCCGAGACGGAGGAAGCTCGAATCACCGGTGGTTTATGGTCGGAGAGAGTAATCGAGTTCGACAAATTGGGAA